ATACATCTACCGATCATCAGTATGCATCCAAAAACACAATACTAATGCCATGTTCCTCATAAAATGGACCAAAATGTATAAACCCTGCATGTCATTTTTCAAAACTTCTTAAAAAAGTGACTTTGATCATATAAAATACAAATTAGCACCTTCAGATTTACAAGAATGATTCTTTGGAGATAATTAGGCATACTGTGTACATTTGGTAGTCATTTGGTTGGTTACCAGTGCAAACCAAAAATGGAGTTGAATTCATTTAAAGTTTTACGTCAAAGTGTTTGCACCAGAGGACTTGATTTCAAAACTTCTCTCAATAACAAGGAGAATTCAGTATATTTTTCAACTGATGTACACGTATTTTAAAGCACCTAAGAAATAACTTTAAAGTAATATGGGCCATGAAAGCAATACCACAAAATTGACGGAAAACGATGAGAAAGGTTTGGCTTTGTTCATTCTCTTACCATTTCCAATCACTCCTACATGTACTACACCTGTACCAGCATGTATTTACCAGGTCTCATACCTTTCCAACAACAAATATAATCTTTAAATTTGGCTGCATCAAAAATGTATGAGTACATGTTTGTTGGGAACGTCATATTTGACAGAATATTGATGACGTTTGAGAATTTGGACAGAAAATGCATGACCCTCGACACAGCAGAAAACGCTGTCACATGTAGTGCTTGGAGATATCCCCCACCTCAAAATTAAATCAAAATTAAGAACTCTGAATCGTACCATGAATTGTATTTTACATGTATGTCTCAGACGTCATTCTTTTGCGAACGCCATTCAGTTTGACACAATGACAGATTTTTGGGGGAGAAACGTTGGTACAAAGAGAAAACTCCTGGAATGTCATCATTCCGTGGAGGGGCTCATGAATATTGAATGAAAAAGAGGGCGCACTACATGTATCTGGGCTGATGTCAAAGGTCAAACCACAGACATATACCTGTACATGTGTAAACCCACAGACGGGCAGCTGCTATTCTAAACAACAGTGTCGTACCGTAGCCGAGACAGCACCTGACTAAATCCAAAAGCGTGGGCAAATTCACCCCTCAGCAGGGTTGTCCCCACGTACCAACTTGCGTATCCGGCCCGATACGTACATGTAACTATTTCTGCCCGATACGCAAAAAACGGGCCGATACCCATTTTTTCATCCCCGATACAAACAATATACATGTAATTATGACAGTATGGCTCAGAATTATCTTACATAATGTAGATTGCATGTCCTGAAAATCTAGATGAAAAAACAGTTTAGTCCTGCATTTTTCCATGTACTGTACATGCATTGTGCACCACGTGTCGGTGGCCACACTGTACTGCACACCGTACATGTCCCTCGGCACCGAACGTTCCTCGTGGCCGGTGCTGCATGAAATCTGCACTTCTGTCATGGGCGTCGTAAATGCACCCGGACCAGCGCACAGGTGTGTTTTCTCTGCGCCATGTGCTCAATTCGCTACTAGGGCTGCATTTACGAAGGTTACAATTTTATACTACACCATTCGCAGAACTTACAACATCGATCCCACACACTCTTTGTTTTTCATGGCAGCAGCCGTAGCCCTGTGTAAGAGTATTAATGGCATCTACGAAGGGGACGATATTTCTCGTTGCCATATCATGGCGTTTTGTCTCGCGCACAATGGCAGAAACTCAATCAAAGTTAGGCTCTTTTTTCAAGCCAATAACATCAGCAGTCTGAGCTGAGGGAAACCCAAACGAAGCAGCCACCTGCAGCGAGCATTCTTTCTTGCCGATATACAAGAAAAGCCTTGTTGTTTATTTTATATGAAGACCAAATCGTTTTATATTTTTATGACATTTGTTTATTCCTTTAAGCTAATATTTTTGCCTTACAACTGAATGGAGCTCATAGGTTCAGTTCTGATCAGCAAAACGGAAAGGTTGAAGCATGTATTAAAATTAAAACTGAATAAACGGGTGTTTATATCGTTGATCAGACAGCTACTACATATTATTGCACGTCTGAAACTTGAAATGACTCCTTTTGTGCCCACAGGCCTAATTAGTAGTCCAGAAAGGAAAACTGGTCATTTGTTGAAATACTTTTTTTTTTAAATATTGAATTTGTTATGTTTTTTCCCGAGAAAAAGTACTTGATAAACCCAGGAAATGCTCTAAAATGCAGCTGAGAGCATCTAAAGTCCCCAAATCTTTGGGGCCCTTGGGCGGGGTCCAAACCCAATGCCATGGCTTCCCAAAATGTTGGTAAACCACAATGAAAATCCCTCACAGTTTTGAAAAATCCTGGGGAGAACCCTTCCTCAGTATCAGTTGAAGAATTCCAGTCATAAAATTCTATTAAGCCATTTTTCGATTGGGTAAAAAAATCTCTCTTTTCATAATCTGGCCTATGCAGATTGGAAAAAACGCAGGTGCAACATGTGAAAAGAAGAGATACATGTAGCAGTAGAGAGTAAAAAAAGGGAACGTATTTTGGGGGCACATGTAAACAAATACATTCAATCCAAGTGCGTCACATGCACTTTACACTTAACATGATGCCATCTGTCATTTCACCCACTGCTTGCCCATGCTTTTTAAAATCATGAATATATGCACAAGCAATGCCACCATGAAATATTGACGGACACCGCAAAATCACCATTATCGATTTTTTGACAGAATCAAATGACGTTTGCGATTGCTGACTTCGGGACCTGATTTCTTGTGACAGACATTTTTTTATTTCATGATTATGGTTTTACTATGTGTAAATAATATCACCTTTCACCACAGACAAACCTGTGTAAAATAACCATGGGAATCATTACTTCCTGGTAACTTGTATTTGGCTAGGATTTCAACTCAATCAACTCTGATTAAGTAGAAAGATAGCCATGGTTATTAGTGTTCCAGATATCAGCCATGACTTCCCTCATCTCATCAGATATTGGGAATTAATTCACAGCTGTTCACTTCAGGAAAAATGAACCCCCAAATTTGAACATTATCTAATGGTCTATATTTGGGGGAACCTGCCTAATGTACATGTACACATGTAATGTAGTGACTTGGACATGGAAAGATCTACATGTTGATGGGTCACTCTATAGATTTGGGGCATCGTTCCAATGCTGTAGTCAAGACCATCACAAGAACTGACACAAGACCAGACACAAGACCATACACAAGACCATACACAAGACCAGATAAACGTAAAGGGGTGAACAATGACAAAGGAATGCTTTTGTTGCAGTTCATTTGAACAGCTTGTGACCTGAATTCAGATTGGAGGTCTTGTGTTGGTCATTGCGTGGTCTTGTGAAGGCATTACGCAGTCTTCACAACACTGTATCTTTCCATCCCATTTAAATGTACATCTGAACAGTGTAATTTGACAAGAGATATTTGCATTCAGTTAATCACTCTTGGAAATTGAAGAATGTGTTCTATAACTTACAAAATCATATGCAAGATATAATAAGGTCAGGAAAAAACTGGACCCCAAATTATAGAATGACTATTGTATGAGATAGGGAGATGATCTTGTCCTTTGGCCAGTCCACTTGTCCTCTACAATCTCCTCTTGAGTCACATGTTATGATGACCAGTAACCGGAGGGAGAATGTGTTAGGTGTACCAGGGTAAGATGTGGTGGTCTAGGTCAGTGTAGATAGGGGTAGGGTCAACTCAAGACGTACATAAGTGGAGAGGGGTATAACCTTACCCCTTTGGCCAGTCCACTTGCCCTCTACACTCTCCTCTGATTCACATGTCATTAAGACTAATAACTGCAAGGAGAATGTGTTAGGTGTACCAGGGTAACATGTGGTGGTCTAGGTCAGTATGCACAGGGGTAGGGTCAGGTCAAGAGGTACAATGTAAGTGGACAGGGGTATGGGTTATAACCTTACCCCTTTGCCTGTGCGCTTGCCCTTGATACTTTCATCCACATGCCATTCATACTCCCACACCCAGTGTTTGGAGGGCAGCTGGATATCCAGAGGTTTGGGTAAGGAGCGAACACCCTTCTCGTCAGACCAACCATCACGATCCGTTGGAAAGAGACCCTTCTGAGAGAAGCCATGCACTGGGTTCCACCTCTATTAATCAAAACAAAATTAATCCCTCACTTCTGTGAACTAAAGCAACAGTTTCCACCTACAGTATATGTACACTGTATGGTATTTGATTATATGACAACCTGCCCTGAATCTTTATGTGTCCTTGACAACCTGATGGATGCACACATACATAAATATATATAACAGAAGTAATATTACAACTGCACGTTCGTTTGCTGCTCGTACTGCCGATTTGTGACATGAATCCATCATCCGTCATCGTTCACATCTATCCTCACCTTGTCACATGCCTTACAGAATTCAATGTGCATACATGTACATGAGCCTCACACAATACCATACGTACCAGTATCTGTCCATACTACTTTTAGTGATCCTACCTGTTAGCTCTAGACACAAAACATACCTGATTTTCGTAAGTATATTCCAGACATCTGATTGGTACATCACTGGGGTACATGAAAACATACAGCTCTTGGTCACAACCTAATGCCCAAGCACAGTGCTTGCTGGCGGTCACCTTCTTAAACTCCACCAAGTGACCATCGGAGGCATGGCTTCTCCGCTGCCACAGCTGAAAGGTGGTGGACAAAGTGTGGATGTGGCCACAGTTGTCCACCGCCCACAGGTAGTTCTGCGATACCATTGGCGAAGGCTAGGTGCTAGACCGGCCCACTTGTGATGGCTTCAGCATTCATCACAATGCTGTTGATTGAAATGAAGGCAAGAGGAATACAGTGAATAAGATCACACGTATATTGTGTGTACATGTACCTGCTCATGTTCCGGCTAAATAGAGATCCATGTTTAGATCTGGTTGATTCAACTTCTTTCTTAGAGCTCATAAGTGTATACAAGTGTGTTGTATACGTGTACATACATGAATGCAAAGGTACCGGTACATGTACGCACATGTATGTACTTAAACTCTTGTACAATTAACCACATGTACATGAACTTGTACGTACTTCGAGTAAACTCAATATAACCTTCACTGTAACCCAGGTTATACATGTACCAAGTACACTGTACATGTGCGTACCTGTGGCAACAGATAACAAAGTGTCTAGTTTGACATTAGTGCATTAACAATTAATGAACATGTAACACACACCTGAATGAGGGTACATATACATGTACATGTCTGAACTGTTATGGGAGCTTTGCTTTTCAAATTGAGGACGAATTCAGTACCATGATTTACCCTAACCCTCTGGTACATGTACATACATGTATGTGGGTCTTTATTTTAATATGGGGGCCAATGTGTATTTCAAGGACATCACAATTATCAGTACCATTTAAAACAAAACAAGTTTCACTTTCCCTTTTAATTTTCATACGTATTTGTCAATTAATATGAGTTGATTACATTCAATTCATTTACATTAAAAAATGTTGATTTACTCAAGAATTGCAAGGGCAAACCTCATCGTTTCTCACTGTTTTTTCGGTATTTAGTGAGACATTTTTGATGACCTGTTTCATACCACTGGCAAAACAAATAAATTGTTTATTTTCTAACTACATGTACAGTGTACGCTATCAACAGAAAGGTAAATTATGATATCCGATAAATCTCCATATGAAATTCATTTTAATTGATAATACAGGTATCGTCATAATATGTTATAAACAACGTAACATTTCGTTCCTCCAGTTGTTATGAAGTGAAATTCATTTTAACTGAGAATACAGGTGCCGTCATAATCTGATATAACAACGTTACATTTCGTTCCTCCAGTTGTTATGAAGTGAAAATCATTTTTGGCTGTTAAAAACAAACAAAAAGCTGTTGCAAATCATTTCAAAACCTAAAATATCAACTCTAAGTACTCCCTAAAATACCTCCTACTAACTCGTATCTGAGATCCCAAACATTGCTGAAGATATCCCTGTCAATTCTCGTCAAAAAATATTTTGGTTACTTGCAAAATCGTTATGCTGTAAACAAAAAACTTTGCGTAACTTCCAACGTTCGCCTGAGTCAGAATCATATTGCAAGCCTGCATGCACTGTCACATGATCATCACATGACACAAACATGCCAAGTTCCCGCCATTCTTTCATCGTCATGAAATTTGGATCGAAGTTTTCATTACTTGCACATTACTGGACAGCTGGAAGTCGCCATTTTTGACACGCCGGCCTAGCAGTCCATTCACAGCATGCTGTGTCAAGTCGGTACACGTGCGCCGGCGACTGTCTTGTGAGCGGCAGAATGTTCGGTGGCAGAGACCACATGGAAACAGTGCAACGCACATTACACCTCTCCGAAAACAGTCACAGGTCCGGCACATGCGCGCCAGCCGACTTGACATGCTGGTGCTATTTTGTGAATGGACCGCTAGGCCACCAAGCTGTGACGTCATCAACAACATTAGCATACAGCTCAATTCACAAAATTGGACATGGGGATTTAGTTGAACTTTTTGGCATAAACGCTTTGTGACATTAAACTTTCTTCACATTCCACTTGAATGAAAATGTGAACTGGCATCTGAGTACGTATATCTCTGCAACTCTGAATCCTTTAAATTTTCTTCATTATCCAGTAAAGACAGCAGTTATGTTTTTAACTTTCAAGTAGGCCAGTGGGTGCGTGACAAGTTTGACAGTCCAACCTCGTTAATAACAGCACTTTAAATACAAGATTTTCCTTCAACAAGAATTCATTTTTATTTAATCCCAATTCTTAGTTTTTGTACATTTTCATTGTAAAAGGTTTCGTTTTTTTATTCACAAATGTTGAACCCACTGCAATATGTGCAATGTTTGTTGACAATTGTAATGCTTTATGACATCAAAATTGCTTCACATTAATTCCCATTCATTGGACATATGGACACGTTTTAGAGTATTTGTATCCATAATTTATTTGAGATCACTATTCATTGACTGCAGACATGAAATGTTGTTGCCATTGTTACAACAAAATCTAATGCAGTTCCCAGTGTAAATTAATGTTTGTATTGTGATAGTTTTCCCACGTGTAACAGAGAAACCGGTTTCTCTGTTACACGTGAAATGAGTCATAAAGCTCTTTAAACCAAAACTTCAAACATTTAATGTCTCTGGCAAAGGTGCACAAGCTATATATTTGCTATTTAAGCAACTCCGTGTTAAACCAAACAAAACTCTCAAAAATAATTCGAAAAAATAGCCAAAAAATGAATTTTGGGGGAAAATGTTTGCCCATTTTTATGCCGCCTGAAACCCTATCTAGAAAAAAAAAACTAGTGATGAGAATATATGGTACATGTACGAACACAATTTAACAAAATTGGCAACAGTTGAAAAGAAACCTTTACTAACCAAAAATGACATGCATAGAACCATCATATTTGGTTTCTCTGTTCCACGTTAAATAATTTGCTGCACCACTGCACAAATTGAGTCTACACACATAAAGTAGTTATTCAAAGCAAAAATCATTTCCATTTATTACATGTATGCATTATCAATTACACATCAACAAGTTTTGAATTTGTTTAGACAATTTTGAAATTTTGACCACCATGTCACACATTTGGCCCCCTATTTAAAATAAAACCCATGTACATGAAAGAGGAGATATACAAGTATGCCAAGTTTGCATAAAACTTTACATGTACTTCCTGTTGTCTCCATAATCATGACAAAATAATGTACATGTACATGTACTTAGATAAGTTTAATTTAAAGAAAACTTGAAAATCTGGCATTTTTACCCCAGCTGACTCACTACATCATTGTTTTCACTCCAAATCAAGCAGTAAAAGTGACTTTCCATTGTAGAAAAATCTTTCTGTACCTGTAGCGGTATGAGGGAAGGATAAACCTGTTTCAATGGCATAAGGCAACGACTGAAGTCAGACATGTAACTCCCATGTGGAATATAACCATCAAGCTTTATTCTCAAAGCAATGGGAGGATTTTCCTGTCTTAATACGACTGGCGCTAGGATATTCCATGCAGTGTAATTGACACATGTATCAACGCCTACGTACACATGTACATATACTATACATTGTACCCGAGTGACTCAAATCACCATCCTGAAGCTTGAAAATGGTGACCAAACACTAATACAGTGTACCGGTATGTGAGGTGCTGTGTTTGTGTTGGTGAAGTGACAGTTTTTAATATGTTTAAAGAAGACAATGCAGACCTCCGCATCACTGATTAGCCAACCCATATATCTGTATGGTCCTTAAGCAAGATTTGACAAACTTGTACATGTATGTACATGTATGTACTGTACACTGTACATGTACCATACATGTATATGTACATGTGTGAACTGTTAATATTCAGTAGTTCAGAACTACTGTACCGTGTATTACTGGTCTATGTGCCTTTTTACTAAATCAAGTTAACTGACAGTGTAGTGACGACAAGAGGAAATTTATTTGGTAGTATGCCCTGTACATGTAGCTTTAAGTACATTTACACAGGTACATGTACATTAATTAACTTCAATATTATTCTTTCACTTTGGCTAAACATATACATGTTATTCTCTGGAAAACAATGCCTTACAGTAGCATGATTGACTGCAGACTAGATAAACATTTGTAGGAAGTGGACTGTTTCAAGTGTTTGTACTCTTTCCTATAGATATACATGAACAATGGACTGCATGCATGCTTTTCCTGTGTAAGGAAATGCATGTACATGTACATGTACCGGTACATGAATGATGTACATGTATGTTGTTTCAAACGAGACCATGTAGAGAGTGAATTATGTACAAAAATTCTTTTTCAGGGGAGGAAGTCATCCAACATTGTCCAAAATAGTCTCCTACGCGCATGGGTCATTTTGTTTCAGTTAACCACTACCTGCCGGGGACTCC